AAAGTGTGGGGGATGAAATGTGTTTTTTGTGGGTGTTACATCCCCCCACCGCTGCAATGAGCATGCTGCCCAGCCACTTTATTAGGTACACCTGTACAATTGTATGCACGTAACTGGGATGAGACAGAAGCATGATCATTTCCATCTCTGTACAAGTTCTCATTCATCCAGATCATAGTATGCTGAAATAAATGTAGGAACTTGATTATAAATAACTGTAATGTAGATAGTTTTACTATGGAGTTATTTAACCTGGATCTTGACAGCCTGTGGCGTTGCCCTCCGTGGCTGCACCAGTCAGACCAAGGGGGCTGAGCACACCGCCATCCCCATGATGAGCCATCTCACTCGCTCCACCTCATCAGATGCCTGCTGCAGATGCCTGCTGGGTAACGGCTTCTTGGATGTGTGGGCCAAAAAGTCCGTTGGGGCCGATGAGGCCCTCCAACAGACTTTTGTGGATCTGCTCCGGCGTCTGTGACATGTGCAGCCACATGTTGCGCTGGATCATTGTTGCCCAGGCCTTGATGCATGCCATTGCCACTGCTGCGGAGGAGAGGGTCATCATCGTTGCTGCCATGGCTTTCCCAATTTCCTCTGCTGCCTCTGCAGGGAGAGCCTCAGGTTGGGCAGTGAGGGAGGAGATGGATGCAGAGAGGAGTTCCACATTGTTAATTGCTGCATCTGCCTGGGATGCGCATTTTGTTAGTGCGGTCCAAAAGGCGGGCCCAATCCTCTGGTCCCATGGGAGCAGAGGAGGGAGCCGCCTCCTGCCGAAGAACATTGCCTTGCGGAACAAGATTGAGGAGATGCTTGTGTTCAGCGGCGGAATGGCAGGGAAGCCGAGGTCTGTCACTCACTACACCTTAGTGAGTAGTGAAGGACTGGAAGCGAGTGACCAGAGCCAGCAATGGAGCATAGCGAGCCAATGGACTCAGGCCCATCTGCATTGCCTACACCGAGGAACTCCAGGGGGTCATCCACCAGGCGATAGTCACCACGGTTGTCCCAGTTGCTGTCATCATCAAGATCGTGCTCTCTGATGGCCACGAACGCCTCAGCCTGGTGCTGCTTCTCCACTGCAGGCAAGCAAGCACAGAGGGGGAAAGCGGCGCAGGGGGAGTGCGTCATATCGGCACGGGGGGTGGGTCGCTGTGCCTAATAAGCTCCATATTGCAGCCAGTGATGGTGATGCAGCACTGATGTCCAGCGTTCGATGATCTTTGCTCTTTAGACATGTTCAGAATCGCTCTTTAGACTGCTGAAGAAAAAGAGGGAGCCGAACTCGGGTCACATTGGCATTTATGGTCTTATTTACAAATTCCTCCTTGAGCAAGCACTTAGTGACAGCAGGGAGGAAAAACTCCCTTTAACGGAAGGAACCTCTGACAGACTCCAGGTCGTGGTGGGCAGCCTTCTGCCTTGATTGGTTGGGGTGAGTGGATAGAGGAGAGAGAATAGAAAAGAAAAGCAATAGGACACAACAACCAATTAAAAAACACTGGGCAGGTTGATGTGGCAGAAACCTGCAGAAATGTACAGGGAGAGAGGAGACACAAAGTTAATGACATGTAATGGTGGCATGTAAGTGCAAGAAGATAGAGGAGAGAGAGGAGAGGAGCTCCACAGCATGAGACAACACTCAGTCTAGGCCTATAACTAAAGGATGGTACACCAAACCAAACTTATCCTACATGGCATCCTGTTGACTACAAACCACTGGTATGGTTAAATAAACTCAGAGGCAACAAGAAAGAGCAGGCCCCCGGTTTCCTTGCGCTTACCAAGATGACTGTCAGTCTTACCCCTGTTCAGCCACATTAGTTGATCTGATGCCATGAAATATCAGAAGACATACTGCAACATACCAAATACCTTTCTACCCTCCCTCACTGTGAATTATATTGAAAGCAACAATATTATATTAAGTCATGAACACAAATAAAATGATGGAACTGCCACAGCCTAATTATTGTACTTTTCTGAGTTTACAGAAACATTGTGGTGTGATGTCGTCCTGTTACAATAAAAAACACATGGTTAAAATTGTTAAACTATCCTAGATTTAAAAAAAAATATTCACACAGGAATTAAACATGGGTCTTCTGTGACAAAGTCCTGTGTTAATGTGACCCATCATTCTGCTGCAGTAACATTTTGAAATGTTGCTGATGGGCTTAGAAACAATAGACACAGGGGAGCTGACACTGACCTTATTTAACAGAAATGCAGAGGAGGGCTACTTCTCGTGGTAGCCCTCTCTCAATAAAGGTAAAGCTCGACAGAGCTCTGCCACCAGAAGGAGAGAGATGTCTTCACCTCCATCTACTGTACATAAGACTGCACAGTCACACAGAGGAGGACAAGAACTCCAAAATATATTGCAGTGTTTAATTTAGCATTTGCAGACCTGTTTGGTAGCTCTGCTATGGTGCCAAAAGTATTTGACATCTTTCAGTTTGACCATCGTTACATTCCCTATGATGACTGTTTTACATTCATGTTTTTCTGTTACGCCTGCCTTGCAATGGAGCCTTTTAATCTGGTTGCACTTGCCTATGACAGACTGATAGCCATCATCTTCCCACTGCACTATCAACTAATGGTGACATGTAGGTTCATGTTTTCTTTGATTGCCTCTTTCTGGCTCATTGTCAGTACTTTTCTACTCATTGCAGTTGTCCCTCTAACAACACTTTCCTATTGTAAATCTGTGGTTATTAATAGTTATTTTTGTGACTATGCCTTGGTGCACAAACTAGCCTGCAATGAAAATGCACTCACCTTGTTCACTGGACACTCTGTATCAGTTCTCATGCTTTGGCTTCCACTGCTATTTATCTTGTCATGTTATTCATATATTGGCTATGCATTGTCTAAAGTAGCTGCAGTCAATGAAAGAGTGAAGGCCTTTAAAACCTGCACATCTCATCTTTCACTTGTGGCAATCTATTTTCTCCCTGTAATGTTCACATTTGCTATGAATGCATATATCGATCCAAATACCAGACTCATAAACATGTCTCTGACCGCTGTCTTTCCTCCCATGTTAAATCCAATCATTTATGTTCTGCAGACACAAGAAATCAGAGTATCTGTGAAAAGGTTATTAAAAATCAAAAAGCGATCCAGAATCACAGTGAAGAAAGCAATTTTAAAATGATTATTTCTGTATATTCAGCGATATCTGTTTAGGATATTGTTTACAATCCAATAAAAGTTGGAGCAAAGTCACAATAAAATATTCAAATAAAATAGCTCTTTTATGGCCCTGTGGTATTAACTACACTCTACATTATGACAGGTATAACACACAGTAACACTGGTATTCTGCTAATTAATTAGTTTTTCAACAAAAAAGAAAATATATTTGGCCTTGTGTTGTACGGTAATATGCACTGCAAAATGTAGAAGTAGATATATTTATAGACAATAAATGTAAATTTTGCATTAGTGTCATACAACCAGGAAGGTAATGAATTTGGTTCTCCATCTCTTTATTGTTCTTTTATATATTTAAAGACAATGAATGGCTGAATTATTGTTTATGACCCTTCATGATGAGGAAGCTGAACTTCATGTGTGGTAAATGGTGGCATGCCTTTCAGACAGTGATTTGTATTAAAGCTTTGAGATGCACAGAGCTGATCTCATTAGACTGTTACCCTAAATTTCTATCTGTGCCCAAGAACTAAAACTGCAGTCATTGAGGAGTTTATTTTGCATCTCATCCTTTTCCATGATGTGCTCAAAGCAACCAAATTCATGTCATGTTGATCTTGTAACTGCAGATGATCAGGACCAGTCTGTAATCACTGCCATCTCAGAGAAGCACACAGAGGTCAAATGGGAAGAAGTCTTAAAGCAAGCAGAAGGCCTGTGTGCAGGCACAGGATTTGCAAAACAGATTTCTTTATGTAAGAGAAAGCAGACCCAAACAGCTAAACATTTGGAGAGTAAAGACCACACTAATACAACATAGAAGACCTAAAAATATAATTAAGATCATGCTGTATCTGTAATTTATGCCTATAAACATATTAAACGAGACCTCTATTATTTCGATCAAGTACTCGGTGAAAAATAAGGCGTCATCTTAAGTAGGTGTTAGGGAATGGGAGCCAAGTTTAGGCAGATGGACTCAATAGGCAGACTCAGATAGAAGGAATCAAAAAAGTACTTTATTCTATGACAAGCTGTACTAGGGGATGATGCACCAGACGTAGATCGAACAGGAACCCCGGCTTCAACAGGAAACAAGGTGATGATCTGGAGAAGCAGGGACTGGGCCAATCCAGTCGTGTGGTGTGAATGCAGGATGAGGGACGGAAGCAAGCGAAGTGGTGGTCGAGGGGCCGTTTAATACTCAACAAGGCTGGCGAGTCTGGCTGGCTTAGTGGTTGGCCAGAGGTATTGTCGGACAGTGGGAAAGGTGATTGGTCATAACCCAAGGGCCCCTTAGGCAATTGTGAGGGATAACAGGTGAGTTACAGACACCAGGCTAGAGGGTGCTTGCTCACTGTCAATGAAGCTGGTAAGATACTCTGTAGCTGGTTTGGGATTGAGGAAAGCAGGGGAGTTGAGTTGTTGCTGATTCACACAACCAGTGGGACAGCTGCTGCTTAGGGGCTTCCCAAAAGAGTGCTCCCTCCAATGCACGAACAACTGCTGTGTTTGACAGCTGCTGTGCGTGCCACATATTGGGACAGTGCGTGCACAGGACAGAGGGTATCGAGCTCTTTTTCTGACCCATCTTCGTGTGGGGAAGGAAAGCAACCATCCAGGTAGATGACTCTGGATCGAAAAGATGTTATTATTTTCGGCGTGTACGCAGGGTTTGGTCTCAAATTGGCTGAGCTGCTGTCTTCACAGATGGAGAAACATACTGGTGATACTGAGCATACGCATGGATCACCCACTCGCTTAGCCGACATCAGGTCTAAGAGGAGCGCTGTTTTCAGCAAAAGGTGTTTAAGAGAGGTCTGTGTTATGGACCTGAAGGGTGGTAAAACCAGAGGTAGATCCCACTGTGGTGTCACTGAACGCGCCACAGGTCACTGTTTGCCCACTCCCCTCAGGAAGCATTTCACCAGTGTGTGCACAAACACAGATCTCTCACCAAAACCCTCATGGCATGATGAAATGGCCGCAGCATAAGCTTTCACAGTAGACAGAGCCAGGTTTCTGTCTACCAGGGTCTGTAAGAAAATCAACACTTGAGCCAGTGGGCATGACGTGGGGGTTGTGCCTCTCTCCACGCACCACTCTTGAAAAGCAGAAAATTTCACTGCATAAGATGCTGTCATCGACGGGGCTCTCGCGCTCTGAATTGTATGCATGACCGCTGGAGGCAAGCCTAGGCTCTACAGTCACTCCCGTCCAGGGGCTAAGCCCACAGGCACTGCCTCATCATGGGAAACTGCCGAATCGCACCATCCAGCTGGGAGAGGGTGTCCCCATGTCACGGGAGCTGCCATGGCTTGCCCGTCAGCAGCTGTACCAGCGTGGGAAACCACGCCATGCCCATGTGCTCTGGGGCTATCAGGATGTGTAACCATTCGTCCTGTATGTGTGAGAGGAGACATGGGATCAGTGGGACGGGGGAAAGGTGTAAATGACTCCTCTGGGCCAGGGGTAATGAGCAAAGGCATCCACCCCCAGCGGAGGCTCGTCTTGTGTGTTCATAGAGAACCAGAGAGCGCACTGTGCATTTTTGTGAGCCACAAACAAGTATGCCACTGCTCGCCAGAACCTGTCCCACAGCACCTGAATGCTGCAGCTATGTCAAATTACACATTTTTTCATCCTGTGAAATTCTATCCAAGCGGTTTTTCTGACATCCCCCATGCTGAGTATTTCTATGTCTTCCTGTGTTTTGTCTTTATCATGACTGTTCTTGGGAATGGCCTCCTCCTCTCAGTGATTTACCTGGTCAAAACTCTTCATACTCCTAAATACATGATTGTGTTCAACCTGGCTGTGATAAATTTGTGTGGGAGCACTGCTCTTATCCCAAAACTCTTGGACATGTTTTTGTTTGACAACAGATACATTGTCTATGAGGTTTGTTTAAGTTATATGTTCTTTGTTGGATTTTTTTGGAAGTGTGCAGTCATGGACACTTGTGATTATGGCATATGACAGATTTATAGCAATTTGCTTCCCTTTAAGGTACCATAGTATTGTGACTAAACCAGCTATTGCTGCAATGCTGCTGTTTATATGGGTTTTCATATTGAGTCTAATAGTATGCTTGGTTGGGCTAATTGATCGCCTCTCCTTCTGTGGATCTGTGGTGGTACAGAGCTTTTTCTGTGATTATGGACCAGTATATCGTCTGGCATGTAATGACACAACTTCAAATTTCATATTGGTAGCAGTTGTTTTAGCTATAATCCTCTGTCTTCCTCCTGTATTGATAGCATTAACATACTGTATGTTTGCCTTACCATAGCATTGGGCAGGATTGCATCAGGAAAGGAACGAGTCAAAACTTTGAAAACTTGTACTTCTCATCTGATTCTTGTTGCTATTTTTTTCCTGCCACTCTTGAGCACAAACATAATTGCTCAGATTTCCTCTATCCACACTAATACCAGAATCATAAACTACTACTTTTTCACACACCATACCAGCTTTGCTCAATCGTATTATTTATGCTTTAAGGACAGAAGAAGTTTTGAACTCCATCAGAAAACTTTTTGAACCCATTAGGATGAGCAGCATTACCTTGTCCATAAAGGTGACCACTGTGTCACCACATTGACACATTTAGCATAAATGCATATAGAAGCTTTTTGCTATTAACATCTTAATATTAGGTACTAGATTTTTACTTTGTGATTATTTTGGTAAGTTGTCATTTGCTGTATTTAACTGTTGCATTAGCCATATAATGATCTGATTTATAAAATGACATCAATGCAGGGGCAGGCTGGCAGCAATACGTAGCCTTGGAATTTGATTGTGGAGCAGCCCAAAACTCGACATCTGTCAGGAAACTTTATAAAATTTCTAGGCTGAGCAGCATGACTTCATCCAAAAAGGTGACTTCTTTATGATTAGTGTGTTGATACATCAAAATGTGTTTATCATTCTTATATTTAGCAGCTCTTCTTTCTAGCCAGTAGAACAATTTCAGATTTAAAAATAGCGGTTTTCATGTGTAAGCTCATTTACTGTATTTCACTGTTGTAACAGTTTTATATTAATCTTTCCAAATGAAAACAGAGTTATGTTACTATACACTGCCTAAGATATCAATAATGTGGGGGGAATATATCAACAGTTATTTTACAATACTCATAAAGATGTCAATTTTAACAATAAAAAATTACATTATTATTAAAATATTACAACATACTAAATATAATTATGCAGAATGAAATTTGAACACAGAATAGTTTGAGATGCATTTTCAACTCCTTGGTACTTCCATCCATCCATTATCTATACTGCTATGTACTGAAGAGGGCTGTGGGGGGACTGGTGAATGGGTTTAAATCAGAATAAATTGCTTATTAAATCAACCTCTTTACAACCTTCCAAAATATGAATTCTTTAAAGTGGAACAAAACTATATGGGTAATGTCTCAGTGACTTAAGTGACCTCTTTTTCAAGCAAGACATGGCCAGGACAAGTTTTACAAGTTTCAGACAAGGCTGGACAACATCTAACACATCAGTTTAACAAATAACTAGGACATGTATAAAGCTTAAATAGACTAATCTCACAGAGTTTATGTGATGTTGAAATTTCCCTCTGCAAACAGAATAAAGCTTCTAGAGTATAAAAACATGTTTTCTTTTCTTTCTCTGATTGTATGCAGCAGAAATGTCTTGTGAGCTAAGATTATGAATTAAGTTCGAAAATATATGAGAGAATGGCTTTAAAAATAAAAATATAGAGTTTAACTCAAGCAGTGCATAGAGAGAATTGGGCCAGCCCATTCTGGAGTACAAGGCACAGTGATCAGTTTTAAGTTGGTGATAAATCTTTTATAAGAAGTGATGACATTTTTATGTGCATTCACTTTATTTTCTCCTCAGTCTGACACGATGTCGACATGGTGTGAAGCTTTTTTTCTTGAATTAACTTATGTTATGTTTGCATTCAGTAGCTGGATGTGCAAAGACTGTACATCACTATACTGTATGCAGACT